GGCGCAGACACGTGCCGTTGGGGTGCGGCTGCCTGCAGCGTTCAGTCCGGTCACGTGCTGGCCAGGCTGGTGGCCCAGGAGCAGCGGGCTGTCCCCTCACCGCCTAGGTGTGTAGCGGACCGTACCCACCAGGTGTGCGTAAGTGCACTCCATGATGCTCAGGCCACGACGAAGGTGCCTGACAACGCGCTCCTAGGAATGTGTCCCCGTCACTCAGCGGCACGTGACTTTCTCAGTGATAAAATGCTTCTTGTTTGGATGTGGATTATGACAATTAGCGGGGAAGCGCATGCACATGGTAAAACAGTATCCAAGGCTGTCTGAATGTAGGCAACAAGCTGCAGAACCATTAGCAGTACCTGTGACTCAGAGATTCATAGGTATTTTGCAGCTATCTGAAAATACTGTTGATATCACAACTACAAATTCACGGTGGTTTTTAGAGCTACCACTAGATCTTAGGAAGTTAACAAACATATAGACACACAATTTTAAAACTATTTTGATTACTGTTTCAGTATCATTGGTGTCCTTTATAATCCTATGTTTTTACCTTATCCACTTAAAATCAACATTCTGAGAAAGAATCCATAGGCTTGGGCAAACTGCCAAGGGGCTCTGCAGCACACAACAGATTAAAACCCCTGATCAAAGGGTATGAGGTCAAAAGTCTTACCTGTTCTGCCCCCATTTCTGGACTGCCATTCCAAGAGATAGTCTATGTATCTATAAGCACAGGTATATATCTGTATATACTTGTTTTTACTCAAATGGTAGTATATAGTTATACACCTTAGTTTTTAATATTAACGCAGCTGCATATTCCAGTGAGCAGATAGACCATAATTTATCAGCTACTGATGGACACTGCTTCCAGCTGACGCTGTAATGAATATCCTTGTACCTTTTGCAGATGTGATTACATCCGTAGGATAAATTCCTAGAAAGTTGCTGGGTCAAAGGATATATTTATACTTTTGACAGGTACTGCCAAATCATTTTCCAGAGGTTGTAATACGTATTTCAACCATTAACGAATACCCATTTCCCCATACCCCCACCAACATGTTAAACGTTTTGAACTTTGCCAATCTGATAGGTAAAACACGGGATCTCGTTTGAGTTTTATTTGCAATTATTTTACTATGAACGAGGTTCGTTCTTTAAGCACTTAATGAAAGAGATGCAGTTTCAAAGCAGAACCGCATGCATACGCCACGTGTGTACATCTGTAGAAATCCTTTTTTTTATTTAGCAGCTCGTTTGGAACCGTACTTGCCAGTCAAAAGCTGACTTCCCAAAGGGTGGTGTCAGGCCCGTGCCTGCCCTACTTTCTCCCAAGCTGGCCGGGAGTGTTCTCCCCATGCCGCAGAAATCAGTTTGCTGCTTCCACTCCATCTTTCCAGCACTGTGCCTACATTCCTTAGTGGGCGACATCCACTTAGTGTCCTGGGAAAGCCGGTGTCCTTAGCTAACGACTCTAGCTAGGTAGTGTCTGCTGCATATAAAACTTTTCAGAATTTTCTTCGAGATTTTCAGAATTTATAGCCCTTATCAAGAGACGTTGCTGTGAACGTGGTTTTTAAAGCAGTTTCATGTCACTGTTTTGAACATCTCGGTATCCTGTGGCACACCTATCCCGGGGCGGCCTGTCTGCTCAGTGGGGAGAATCCCAGAGGCGTAACCTGACGGGGTGCTCAGACGCTTCTAACGTGGGGACTTAGGCCTCCGTGTGACGCTGCCGCCATGCGGGCTGGTCAAGTGCAGGCGAGAGTTAAGAATCACACAGTTGTGTTGGCTAAGTTTTATTTTTCAGCAGTATAGTATTTGTAATATTCTTTATTTTTCTATATTATAAATATGGAATTATAAATTTAAAAAAGTAGATACACAGAGCATTGGCCCTGGAAGGGACGGTCATAACGTAAATCATACATCTGAAGGTGACGGAGTTTGTTCACGCTGACATTTCTCCCTTTAACCAACACTTGGCAAACGGCTGCTCAGTCGAGCACAGACAACCAGTGGAAGAACTGAGTGTCCCCTCCCCTCCAATAAACGTTTATTTAAAAAGAAAGGAGTTACTGTTGAATGGCCATTATGTGACATGTACCATGTTGAGACAACGGAGCCGATAATCGTCCTGGCAGGTCAGAGTTGGCTACCTTAGAAAACAGATGTCTAAAACTTGTTTTATGATTTCCATGTGCTAATCTGTCTTTGATGGCCCGTTGCATGTGTGCACAGTGTGAGCTGACACTTGGCTTCCCTAGAGATGATTTCTAAATTAACTCATGGGATTTACTGAGAGTCAGGTAGGTTAGTTCTGGGAGGAATGGAACGATAGCTTCAAAGTCATCTGCTCGACTTCGTCTTTGAGAACCAGCGACTGAGCACCTCTGCGGTGTCCGCTTACATCTGCCCACCTGACCGCGCTT